ATCGTGCACCGCAAGTGCTTCTAAGTCTGAAGATTATAGGAAACTTTACGTCAGTACGGCAAGTTCTAGCGCCCAAGAGACATGTCGAAGAGGGTTAAACCCTCATGTTCATAGCCTCCGGTGCTTTTTCGGACTGGCTCCCTAATTCAGCTTCCTTCCCATCTAGTGATCCATTGTCGTGGGGACAGATCACATCAGAATAGACCTGCCTGTTCCCTGCGTTGCCGCTGGACCATGGTACGGAAAAGTCTCCTCCCCCTCTCCATCCCTTCAGCCCAACAGAACGGGAATGCCGCAGGGGGAAATTTTGCTAAAAAAATCTTCATTCAGCGCCTTTCCGGTGCCTATGATCCCTACAACATTTTCCCCGATACTAACTACTAGCATTCATTTAGCCTCCTCCCAGCTTGAGCCGACTTGGAGAACTGGGGGCCACCTTAAAGACCCTGAGAAGATGGTAGTTGAGACTTGCCTGATCTTGCCTGGTGATGGGGTTTAAGGGCTTGTATAATAAGATCCCCATATACCCCAGTTTCTGTCTACTTAAGGGGGACTATAGGGTTTTGGTACTTTTTTGATTTATTCCGACACAGAATCCGGCTGATGCACCCGAATGGCCGTCTCAAGCACAAGGTCTCGTTTGCCCCAAACTTGCAGGATCCTTCGTGTGAAGCCAACTGCAAAGCCTCACCTCACCTTGCCAGGCTTCATATATCCCAGGAGCATGCAAATATGGCACGCCAACAAACAGGCCCGGAAACCCTTAACATGGAATCAAGTGCTGTCCTCACTGCCCTTTTGCTCGAGCATCTAAACAGCTCAGCTAGCAGCTAGCGACTTGTCAGCTCTCATCCCATCCTTACCGAAATCATGGGTGACGAGGAGGTTGGCGGGCAAACGTACATACGGGTGGTTAGTAGCGTAATAGGGAGTGAATGGCAAAGAAGATGCAAACTACTGCTGTGCAAGTAGTTTTGGGCTTTTGTGGTTGGCCAACAAGACTGGAGTGCTGCGGGTATAGTGACTACACACTGAAGGGATTCTGCAGAGACTGAGGATGGTGTAGGGGTGATGGGGAGGTGATAGTTAACCGCCAGCGGCTTCAGTGACAGTGTAACTTGAGAAGCCCATGACTAGCGGGTCAGGTTGCCGCGTTGGTGGTGGACAACGGCAGCGGCATGTGCAAGGCCGGCTTCGCGGGCGACGACGCGCCGCGCGCAGTCTTCCCCTCCATCGTGGGCCGCCCCAAGATGCCGGGCATCATGGTGGGCATGGACCAGAAGGACTCTGAGTGCTGAGTGCAAGAGGGGCCCAGCCAACGCAACCTAAGTACGTCTTTTGGTAAGTTGATGGGACTTCGCCAAAGCTCGCACAGGAACCTGCTACCGTTGGACTTCAATGGGTGTAGCGATGATCCTTCTCCTGTGTTGTGCAGGATTCGTACGTCGGCGATGAGGCCCAGTCCAAGAGAGGCGCGACGTAGCCTGTTGCAGCAACAGTCATAGTCTATAGTAGTACCAAGCTTCCTCATGTTACACATGGCTGGGTATGTGGGGTAGGTTCGTTCAGATTCTTCCTGGAATGTTTAGAGCCCACATCCTACACGCTGGTCAGCCAGACTTGTATTCCATAACATAGAACGAACTTCAAAACCATAGCCCTAGCTCTTGCTGCATCATGGATGTTTTTACGCAGAAAAGTTACCGACCACGTCTCCCTCCATTTAGTCCAGTTGAATCTGATTGGCGTTCTGGTGTGGTCCTTGAGTAGGGGCAGAGAGACCCTGAACTCAAACCCCGAACCCTGAAGCCCTAAAACCTAAAGATGTTGTTGATGGCCAGGAAGTCTTACCAAGTTTACAGGAGCTCCTTCAATCGCTTGTAATTATAGAAGCAAGGACTGTAGGGCTACATGGGGATTGCGGGGATTGCATGTGGGTTATAGGGATGTCTCGAGAAGTCCCAGTAGACTCTATCTGAAGACGCCTTGAGCCCCGCGTTCGGGTAAACTCTGCAGCCTTCAACAGTTCAGGGCTCGGATTTCAGGGTTAAGAAAGGGGCT